TGTGTGTGTGTGTGTGTGTGTGTGTGTGTGTGTGTGTGTGTGGTGGTGGTGGGGTTTATTATGTAATTCCCAGGCTTCAGTTCTACACCACAATCAAGTAACTGTTACCTCCAATTCTTACGAAAACACCAAAAATAATATCAAAAATAAAATTGACTTCACATCATATCTAACCTCCCTGAAATTGGCCTCTGTCTCTTTAAGCTCSTATCATTTTCKRCACTTCATCACATCTTCACAACAATGCTTCAGGGGATGGGTGCTCTGTGGGGCGGGTGTTTGGTTCCAGACTGAGCTTCAGGGAGGAGCTATAGGCGGTTCTTTGKACCAGCAAGTGTTTATGGCTACCACAGGAGATTCAAGGATTCCTCAAACACGCATAAATGTGTCAAAGCAAACAACTTTGTGATCTCTGTTTTTGATGATGGAATGACATCATAACATGATGCAAAGCTCAAAAACGTTTTGCACAATATTCCTCACCCCCTTAAATCGGTCAAAATGTAGTGCATATGATATAACTTCTGTTCAAATAATTTAATTTAAAGTATCTGATGTCAAATTTTCATAATAATGTTGCTGAAAGCTGTCCTTAAAATGCTACTGTAGGATTTACTTTGATATCTATAGCATATTTAAGCAGTCGGATGCTGTTTTTTGTGCATCACAGCAAACAGAAGCCAATAGCAAGAAATACACAGCCTTTTTTCTTCTGTTTTATGGCTTTCTGTAGCTTCTTTATCCACCACAGCAACAGTTTTCTCCTGTACTAAAGCATGCTTGAACAATTTTCACCGCAGAGCTTTGCTTCTTGTTGCAAAACAATTTGGATTTGTCATGGTGACATTTGAAATGTCAGTAAGGCGCAGTTTGTTGGGGAATAACAGACATCATGAAACAGAATTACATAGACCAACTAGTCAGAGTGTTGTTAAAGATGAGAAATGTTCCGAATCCTGAAAGCTAGACACTTTAATAGAAGATTGCAGCATGACTGAGAAGTATGACTCAGCCACTGAATGTCAGTGGTGTAGCCCGATGAGCTGGATGTCACCAGTTTTGTTTGTTGCAGCGCCACAACTAATGTCACGCTTTGAGAAAAGACTTTTCCTCCCCTCCGCAGCGCGACCTCAGCAGGCAGCAGTGGGGGTCAGATGAAGCGGATGTACAGCGCGGTGCCGGGCCGGGTGTATGTGGCCACTCGTGCCCACTCTGCCAGCGGAGACAAGGAGCTCTCACTAAACAAAGGAGACAAAGTTAAAGGTGAGTAAAGCCATCCGTGCACGGTCAGATGTGAGAATATGAAACAAAGTGAGACTGTTTGTGTTTGCTGTTTCAGATTATTCATTCTGCATGTAATTATTCATTTTATGGCACTTGGAAATTATTTGATATTAGTAACAGTAACATAAAAAATACAGCTTATGTGAATAAAAATAATAAAAACGTAGACAGAAGTTTTAGAGAGTCAGTGAACCAGGTGTCCCTGTGGAAAGCAAAACATTGCTTTCATGTGTAATCAATGCAAATTTTAACAACTTGCATTTTCTCATTTTCTGCCTTTATCTGAAAGTTGTGAACAAAGCAAAGAAAAGTTGTGTTGGGTGTTCATCAACCGGCACCAACCTGTCAGTACGCCTATTTTTGATGCCTTTTTATTTTTAGGGAAAAATGTAGAGAAAAAACGCACAAAAAAAGGCATTATAAATTTTCTTACTTTAGTGAATTTTAAACATTTACAAAGGAGGAACAGCGACTCAGTTGTTTGATTTTTTAAATTAGAAATCCTAAATTACTGCCTGCCAGATAATGTGAGGAAGCAAGGAAGTTGGCTAAGAAAATACAAAAGACATTCAAAATATGAAATCAAGCCCACAGCAGGAATAAATTCATCCATATCAAATATTTTTCTTGCCTTTTTCTAGTCTCAATTGTCTGCTTTGTGACCAAAAACAAAAAATCCCTAAAGCATTTCATATCGCCCAACTCAACTATTTTCCTTGACTCAGATTTTAACGTCTTAAACAAAAAAGAAATTGTTTCTTTCTTTTAAGATTAGGTAACCTGGTCATTCAATTCAATTCAAAAATATTTTACTGATCCCGGAGGGAAATTAGGTAAATCATGTCATATGTTGGTGATTTGTTGAAGCCTGAGTCAGAAGCTGGTAGAAATGGGTATTACTGCTCCCATCTTATTTGGAGCTGTTTGGGAGAGAGGCGGATCAGAGGCTCTCAAGCAGCAATAAGGGAACCAAAACTCTTTATACAGAGCTCAGCCAAGTCATAGATCCCATAAAAAAGCCATAATTTCCATCACTGGCAGGAGATGGATCCTATTCAGGAGCTTTAATTACTAAACTGAAGACAAAATGAGTCGATAAAGACGTCCTGAACACAACAGAGCATCTGTGGGAAGGAAAAGCAAAGAGTTCTCATCTGCGTTCGTTTGTGTCCATATGAACTGAAAAAAAGTCAAACTAATATCAAATCAGTCAGTCCAGCATGTGCCTTAATTTTAGCTGTATGTGTACATCTATCTGCTGTATGTTGCATCTTTCACAGTGTTGAGCATCGGAGAGGGAGGATACTGGGAGGGAACTGTGAGAGGACGCACCGGCTGGTTCCCTTCAGACTGTGTACAGGAAGTGCCAGCTCCCAGCAAGGAAAAGGGTAAAATAAAATAACCACTTTATAGTTATATTTTAAAGGATGATTTGGTTTGTGGCATGTTTAGGTTTTTAGAGCCTGTTTAATGGTAATATATTACAGCAGAGTATGCCTGGTTTGGTTCTTTTATTATTCTTTTATTCACTTTTGCACACTTGTGGAGAAAATTGTGAATATCATATTGTCCAGCAAAGTCTTTCATATTTCACACTATGCCAGGACAGTAACATAAGATTAAGGTGTAAATATCAATATGTCAAGTCCACAAATACGCAACACTGCCACAAAACTACTGACGTCAGCTGAGCTTTCTAATTATTTTTTGTCCTGGATGTGCATTTCAGAGACACGCAGTGAGAAAGCCAAGAGGAAGCTCTTCCGTAATGTCACCGTCGGCGCTTACGAYGGCACCGATGGCCCCAGGTAAGTAAAACAGAAATGACTCTGAAGGTCTGTAACAGTCAGAGCAGTCAGTTTAAAGGGGAAATGTCATGCAAAACCCACTTTTTTTAGCACTTATAGATTTTGTTGTGAACTTGGAGTCTCCAGGAGTGAAGAAAAGTTAAATTTAGGTTTTCTTAGTTATCTTTATATTCTGTTTGGGTCATATTTTTTTGCCCGTTCAGTTTTTTCTATTTTCTGTGACTTTTTCTGAATCATTACGTCATATAATTTGAGACAAAACTTATAAAAAAAAAGGTGTGGACTTTGCAACTAACCAAGTTGGTGGTCTTCATTCTCCTCTAGCTCTGGGTCAGACTCTGGCTCCAACATGTCAGGCTGGATGGACAAGACTGTTGTTGACATCTTTTAATTTATTTGTAAATAAAAAGTTTCTGCACAGCTCTATTGTCATAAACCCCTCTATCAAACTGCATTGAACCACTCTGGAAGTTGGAGGGTGGCGGTGTGTGTAGCGCCTTGTTTGGATTTAAAGAAACAGCATTAAAATGAGTTGATCTGAGACACACCTAAGAAAAGAGGTGAAAGAGGGGCTTGTGGAGCTACAATAAGGAGGAATTCAGACCAAAGCATTGCAGTTCCACTTTATATAGACTCCAACTGAATGATTTAAATGTGAAAAAGTGGGATTCAAAAGCATGACATGTCTCTTTTAAACAAAAATCTGTCCTAACTTCTAAGTTGTTTTAGAAAATCCCTAAAACTGTATCAAAAATCCTAATTAAAGTTGAAAATCTTTTAGGTGTTTCTAATTTGATAAATGTCAGACAGGTTCAGTATTTGAGATTTCTTTTTATTTATTCATCCTGTACAAGAAAATATGTATAAGATCAATAATGTTCTACAAATTAAAGCATAATTTCCTACACAATGTTGTGCAATGTTGCGATATCTTAGCTAGTATGAGCTGTACAGGATTGTCAGCAACTATGAACCCAAATTTTAGCTCAGTATTTGTAAAATTGACTGAGTTATGGCTATTTTTGTGTTTGCTGAGACTGTTTTCATCTTGATTTGAGTTGACTTCAAAAGTGAATAACTTTAGGATGTTCAGAAAAGTTTCTTCAGTGATGAATGAATAGATTGGCTAACATAAAAGACACGAGCAAAAACTTATTTGCTCCACCTTTGCCGCTGGCTGCCGCCAAAGGCAAATACTAATGTTAACTGTGCTTGTGTTGTGTTTAGAAAAAAAGACAAATTTGACTGTCACTGTTGTTTTGACAGGACTTTCTGTAGAAAAAAATCCTACACACCTTTGCTTTGTGTGTGTGTGTGTGTGTGTGTGTGTGTGTGTGTGTGTGTGTGTGTGTGTG